CTAACTTTGGAGTAGAATATTGACGCTCCGGTTTTTGTGAAAGGAAAAGGAGTATCTCTAACACGACTAAAGCAAATTCTAACATACGGTGGGTTACCGCAACTTTGAACTAATGAACTTTTGTACTGGCATTGAGTAGTATTTTACCTCTCACGCTTGACTAACTGTTGACCCGCCTGTCTCTCATCTTCTGACATTGAGAAAGGTCATGTAAAATTCGCTGCGCAGGATGAAATACAAAAAGTACACTAGTGAATATTGTTTTATTAGATTAAACTGACAATTTTCTAAAAAATTAAAGGGCAACTGCTCTTTAATTTTTGCGCAATGAAGATGTGTCCTTCTTAGGTATCCACTTCACAATTATTCACCGAACGCGAACTGAAGTAGTTCGGTCAGATAAAAAGCAAATTAAGTATCTTCTTGCTGTGCTGAAAAATCACCAGCCATCTAACATAGAGCATCTGAAGCGGTATATTAGCAAGCACATAGCTGTTTCAGAAGGCAACACGTTTTTAATACCGTTTTTGTTTTTATACCAATGATGATATGATTTTACGTCATCGGACTAATAATTTTAAAAGTCCTTTGGCAAAAATGTTTTCCGCAATTAATTATTAGGCCAGTATATTTACATAGTCAGTGATGTTTTGATTGTCGACTGTGTATATTCAGTAACTCGTCAATAGGATTGAAATAAATTTAAATGGCACGGACCAAAACTTCGCTCAATATGTCTGTTAATATTGCACTTATTTAAATTATGAAGGTGTCCAGTTCATAGATAGTCTGTTTGCATAGAGTGCCGATTTTTTCCCGGGTTTTGCTCGAGCAAGTTTTTATGGATAAACGATTTAAGTGTCAGTGCCCGCAAGTAAAATTTTGGTATCTTTTCACAATGAAAATCCGGTTGTGTTTGTTGCTTTCAGTCATCTAAGAGAGGAGTGGGCAGTTGGAAAACACCCCAAGCACTGACTGAGAATCTGCCGCATGCTTTTGTCAAAATAGTGTGCTTGAGATGCTTAAAACTGGACGAAGGTTTATTCAGGCGTTTGATACACGGGGCTCTGAGGTATAATATCGAACCACTGATAAAAAGGCAGCCAACAAAACATGATTTTTTGGGAGAGCATAGATGTTTCGTTGATTTGTCGAGTTCGTTCATTATAAACTCCGATGTCCTGGAAGGTTCTCATCAGGGTTTTTTGAGATAATAGATGCCAGTATGAAAAAGCTGTCACTCAGTTGTAGGACGTCAGACATGAAAACTGTGCGAGTGAAGTATTCAGGTTTGTATCGCAGGTCCCACGAACGCTAAGTTGGACTTGCGTGGTTAATCTCGATTAATTAGCTGAAAACGATCATCTCAGTTAGTCGTCGCCTCTTCGAACAAATGTAAGCATACACCGGACTCGTGACCCGGTGAGTAGAGGCGTTGACTTCTAAACCAACAGGTCGCGAGTTCGAGGCTCGGGTGTTCCACACTTCGGGCTTGGGTATATCTGGCTGCCGACGACTTATAAGCCAGAAATGGCCATTCCAGTCTCCCTTGTCTTTGTCGGTAATGCTATTCTGCCTATATATCATGCGCCGCTGTGCGGCTGCTGGTTGGGCTCGAGAGAGAGTCCATAAGGCACAACGGAACGAGTGAGTTTCCTATGAACGATCGGTGAGCGCCCTCTACCACTATATATATATATATTTGTTAAATGATTGGCATCCCATAAACACAATCTAGAAAATAACAAGATCTCAAGAAAATGTAGTAATCTTTATTCTCTTAATTTCGAACAATGTTATCCTAGATCGTCTCCAGGCGTGTGCAGAAGGGAGATCCACAAGTTGATCGTGAAATATCTTTTGGGAAATGCTCGAAGTCATAGGGAATAAAGTTATCCCTTAAGTCTGCTTAATCTGAATTGACGTTAACGTGGGTTTTGCACTTCCCTTTTGGCGTGCCGGTCGAGACTCATGATGCTGTGGCTGTGAAAATCCGAGGATGTAGAGGATTTTTCATTCTTGCAACCTTCTCTCTTGATTGAAAGCTCGCGTTCATTTGACTGTCAGGTAAGCCTAAGTTTTTGATCGATGATTTTCGACACCTAATTCGGTTGCAGCATGGGAAATGAATTCCGTTCGGTCTAAATGAAACAAATTGAAGAGGATATACACACCTAGAAATTCTACTAAGCATACCGAAATCTAGTTTTTGCTTGTATTCGCATTATGTAGTTTAGAAACGCAAAACAATGTTTAGATAGACAAGTGTCACAAACCTGGATATTTACTTGCGTTCAGCCAACTGAACACGATTAAAAGCTGAGCTGATTTTCGCAAGGTTTAATTACTCAAAGTCTTCATACCGACACCGGAGGGCTCTAATTTAAACATGAAAAAGCTAACGTCGTTTCGCTAAAATGTGATAAAAAAGGCGTTGTCGCAAGTATTGAAGGAAACGAGGTCATTAGTGTATATAAACTGGTTACTGTCACTTTTCTTGCACAAACGCTAACTGCGCTTCCTGTTGGCTATTTGACGATCTTAACAGGCACCTTGCAGAAAATCATTCCTGAACTTACCAGTTTGGTAATCCTACAATCGCGTTATAATAGCGTCAGTCAACAAGTCGAACCTCAACCAATAAGCCTGACTAGTAACTAAACGGTCATTATTGGCAAATTGTTCCAAAAATCTCTGAAAGGTTTAGTGTCTTTCCGTTTGAAGTATACTCGAACTAGGAGGAACCAAGTCACAAACAGTTTGGAGACCATCGTGCAAGGCTCATGCAATTCCCCTCGACAGTAACTCGCGAAGTCAAGATTTAAATATATAGGCGCAGAATTTAAAGTCTGCCAGCAGAAAAAATTCAGGCGAATGTATGTCTGACATTTAAGTTTTTAGTATGTTAAATGAATTTCTTGGGCTCTCCTTGCATAGCATGTTTTCACGATGGGCTCTCAATCACTGGAATCTAACGACTTTTAAAGTTGGACGTACAGGGAGCACAAATAAGTCGAGATCTTGCGATGGGTGCTAACAGTTAAGTATCCTCCGGTAGTCAGTTTAAAATCTCTCTCGTGTTCCTTGGTCAAATACCAAGCATGCTGTCATGGATTCATAGACATTTCTATGAGTTTTCGACGCAATTTTTTCGACATCGCAGGTAATCTGTTATTGGAGTGCTTCTAAAGAGGATTTCGCATGATGCCTTTTTATAGACGTGAAGATCTATTTCGAGCTTTAAGATATCTTTGGAGCTAGTTCACGATAACCACTTAACGGGAAAATAAATTAGCCTGTCTTCAGGTATAAAAATGGGTTTCCATTTCCATATCATTATTTACTTACACGGATCGTTAGGCACGTTGACATCAGAAACGCGCATGCTATGACAGTGTATTTGTGACCCTCAGAAACAAATTATTCACTATCGAGAAGCATTGCCAATAGGAACAAAGAGACGAGTCCCAGGAAGCAGTCTTGATGACGTTTCGGATTCCTTCTCGAACCCATCATCAAAACCCGTATCTGCTTTGTCTCTGATGATAGATTCGAAACGTCAGGCTAGTAAACCTCTTGCCCCAGCGATCGTGTCTCCTTCAAATTCGAGAAGCATCTTAAAAAAGCCGGGCTGGTAAGACAAAAATAGCTCATTAAGCAGTCTGCAAGTTCGTTGTCTGTTTTTTGCGCTTGCTAACCTTCAGCCTTACGAAATAAGCGCAAGTCAGGCCGCAGCAGGCCTATTACTCTTCTACGATCTGAAGTGATCGGGAACTGAGGACCCATATTAGCCTTCCTCATGTCCCGTGGTCGGGCTACAAACTTCTCTTGACCATTCATGTGTTTATATGTTGCCAAGGACATGTGTCCTCAGATTCGAACATTAAGACAGGCGACAGGAAAACTATAGTAGACATTAGTAATGTTGTTATAAACTAAAGCGTGCACATCAGAAACTAAGCAGTCCGGGTTATTGTAAACTATTTCACTAAATTCTCCTGGAAAAAAGGTTGGTAGTTGTAGCAGGTAAGAAACCAGTGCATTTGGTGGGAATATCCCGTGAGCGGAGGCCTCTCCCCGCTCACAAGTTCGCACATCACTTGTTATTTCAAATAATGGCGAAAGTATCACATGTGAAGTCAACTAGTTTTTTGCTGATAGAAGCGAACAGGCGAGTCCCAGGTAGCAGTTCAGAAGATGAAGATGCGATCACTGCGACAAGAAGTTTATTTGCCTGACGTTTCGGATTCTCACTCGAATCCATCATCAGAGACATTCGCAGATAGAGGTGAAGGTGGCACCAGGAGTGCAGTATTTATAGCACGTGGCTGCCGTGGGACCGTATGCGCACTGCAATTAACAGTTCTCACAATCGCCGCTGGGGTCGTAATTGATGCGGCGGTGGCTTGGCGGTCCGAGTCCGAGTTGTTAATCGCCGCGATTTCGTCATCCGTGCTCGATGCTGGTGTGACGATTGCCCGGCAAACTGGCTCACTGTCATCGTCATAATTGCTCACCCGCGCCCTCCCCACGTGCCTGATTCTCCTGCCCAGGGAAAATCGCAATACGGAATAGGGCACCGGGAGGTCATTGTGTTTGTTGACGGATTGCGGGCCTGAGAACCATGACTCGAGCAGCTCGCGGCTCACGCGGTTGTCACCCCTTGCGAGGATTTCGGCCTCTTGAAATTTGAAAATATGGCCGGGTCCCGTCGAGTGTGCCGCCACCTGAGAGTTAGCGTCTCCCCGCCTCACTGCTGCTGCGTGCTCGGCAAGTCGCGTACAGAGTAATCTCCCAGTTTCTCCGACATAATTGCTTTTTCCGCAGCTACACCAGATCCGGTAAACGACTGCAGACGTTTCCTGCCGTGGCAGCGGGTCTTTTGGCCTCATTACTTGGCGCCTAATGGTTGCTTCCGGCCTGTGTGCAACCCCAACTCCAAGTGGAGTGAGAAGACGACTGACGGCTTCCGAGACGTTCTTCACGTACGGAAGATCCCGTCAAAATTTGGGGCTGGTTGGATTTGGTCTCTGGTGTCCTTTTCGTATGCACTGGTTGACAAAGTTGCGCGGGTAGCCATTGGCTCTCATTACCCGTCGAAGATATTGTAATTCAGCAACCTTGTCTTCCATTTCACTGCAGTGCGTCTCAACACGCCGGTATAGCGCCCTTACGCAAGTGCTTCTGTGACTGATCGGGTGGTTGCTATTGAAGTTCAGTATTTGCGTCTTATTTGTCGCTTTTCTGAACACTTTAGTTTTTAGGCCACCACAATCTTTGTGGCAGACGAGGACATGCAGGAAGGCCAGCTGATTGTTTTCCTCCTCCTCCATCGTACATTGAATGTCAGGGAAGACGCCGTTGAGTTGTTCTTTGAAAGTCAGCACCTGATCCCGTTCGATGACGACGAAGGTGTCATCCACATACCGAGCCCAAAATTGCGGTCTGTGGTGTCGGAAAACCAGCGACTCCAGCCGTTGAAGGACCGCCTCGGCTATGAGTCCCGAAATCGGCGAACCCATTGGCGTTCCCTTCACCTGCCCGTAGATTGTTCCGTCGAATGTAAAGTACGTCTTGAGACAGAACTTCAGGAGCTGGATGATTTGGGCGTGTCCGAGGCGATTCTCCGTTTCGTCGTACTTCTCTCGTAGGAGTAGTTCGATTGTCTCGACTGCCAGGTCCTGCGGGATAGAAGTAAAAAGGGACGTGACATCAAAGGAAACCATGATATCGCTTGGCAGGAGACTTACTCCTTTAAGTTTCTCCAAGAATTGCGTTGACGAGCTGACTGTGGTGTTCGAATCGGAGGTCAGAAACTTGAGACGTTGGAACAGCCATTTTGCCAGTCCGTAGGTTGGAGTGCCCTTTAGTGATACGATAGGCCGGAGAGGAGCGCCCTCTTTGTGCACTTTTGGGAGACCGTAGAATCGGGCTAGGGCCGTTTCTTGTGCTGTCGCCATGCGTCGGTCGATTGGCGATATTGCACCTGAGTTCTCCATTGCCAACAGCGTCGCGTTAATCTCGCGTGTCAGCGTTTTCATGGGGTTGGATTCGCATGGGACATAGGACTGACGATCCTCCAGCAAGCTTTTGGCTTTTTGATTGTAGTCTGTCCTATCCAATACGACCGTTGAACGCCCCATGTCCGCAGGCACGATAACGAGGTCGTTATCGGCCCTGAGTTCCTTAAGTGCATCGCGCTCGACCTTGGAAAGTACATCGCGCGGCCTATGAGCCATGAGGAGGGAGGACACTTGGTGTCGAATTAGGTTCTTCGTTTCGTCTGTCGCTCCCGTCTGGCTGAGGATTGATTCCACTGCTGCGATCATGTTGGCAGGTTTGGCATCGGCTGTGTTGAATGAGGCCTCATGCCGTAAAACCTGCATTTGTTCCTCCGTCAGCTCCTTTGACGACAAGTTGTGCACCAGTTTGTCGTTCTTGGATGACATTGGAGCAGGCAGCTTACGAAATTTGCTCTCTAGGGCTGCTTCTCGCGTGGCTTTATGTTCGCGGGTTCGTTCGGCCAGCCTCTGCTGAAGCAGTTTTATGCCGTCCTCGCCCATGAACTCGCAGCACCTTGCTTTCTCTTGGTCAATCCTCTGACGGTATTTGCGAATCCGTGAGTGACAGTCTTGAAGGGGCACTCGGATCATTCGTCCGCCGAACTGAAGTACTGCGCGTCTCGCCAGCTCTGTGCTGACCGGAGGTTTGTATGAAACGCACTTCGGCAGCACATTGTTGTCGAGACACCTGTGCAGAAATCGAATCTGCGCATATGTTGACGACTCTCGAAGGGCAAAGGTTTCCCACCGTTGAGCCGATCGGAGCGCTTCGCGCACAAAAAAATGCTGATAGAAGCGAACAGGCGAGTCCCAGGTAGCAGTTCAGAAGATGAAGATGCGATCACTGGGACAAGAAGTTTATTTGCCTGACGTTTCGGATTCTCACTCGAATCCATCATCAGAGACATTCGCAGATAGAGGTGAAGGTGGCACCAGGAGTGCAGTATTTATA